ACTACTACTACTGTTACTACTACTACTACTACTACGACTACTACTACGACTACTACTACTACTACTACTGCTACTTCTACGACTACTACGACTACTATCACTACTACTTCTACTGCTACTGCTACTACTACTACTACGGCAACTACTACTACCTCGACTACGACTACGACTACGACTACGACTACTACTACTACTACTACTACTACTACTACTACTACTACTACTACTCATCCTACTACTACTACTACTACTACTACTACGACTACTACTACGACTACTACTACGACGACTACTACTACGACTACTACTACTACTACTACGACTACTACTACGACTACTACTACGACTACTACTACTACTACTACTGCTACTTGTACTTGGGAGTCGTATGGCCAACATGGCGACTTGTCCATTGTCGACAACGCTGGAATCCTCACGCAGTGCGCGCGCGCGCGGGGCGTCTGTAGCGGCCATGACAGAGAACGTACTGAAGAAGCCAGGTTACCTCCGAAACGCAATCATTCACCGCTAAGGGGCCACTTTAGTTTCCAGGCCAACATGGCGGCTTCTCCATTGTCGACAATAAGGAAAGCCTCACGCGGTGCGCGCGCTCGCGGGGAGTCTGTAGCGGCCATGACAGAGGTCGTGCGCAAGAAGCCATGTGACCGCGGAAATCACGGCGGTCACCGCTCAGGGCCCAGTTTAGTTTCCAGGCCCAAATAGCGACTTTTCCATTGTCGACAATGAGGAAATCCCCACGCTGTGCGCGCGCGCACGATGGGGAGTCTGCAAGTTAGTGGCCATGAAAGAGTACATGCACAAGAAGCCAGGTTACCTCGGAAATGCAACCGGTCACTGCTATGGGGCCACTTTAGTGTCCAGGCCAACATGGCGACTTGTCCATTGTCGACATAAGGAAAGTCCTGACGCGGCGCGCGCGCGCTGGGAGCCTGTGGAGGCCATGACAGAGAACATGCACAAGAAACCATGTCACCTCCCAAATCCAATCGGTCACCGCGAAGGGGCCACTATACTTTCCACGGCAACATTGCGACTTTTCCACAATAAAAAACCCCACGCGGTGCGCGCGCGTGGGGAATCAGTGATGGCCATGGCAGAGAACATACACAATAAGCAACGTTGCCTCGGAAATCCCATCGGTAAACGCTAAGGGCCACTCTAGTTTCCAGGCCAACATAGCGACATCTCCATTGGCGACAATAAGGAAAGCCTTACGCGGCGCGCGCGCGCGGGCAGTCTGTGGTGGCCATGACAGAGAACATCTACAAGAAACCATTTCACCTCGGAAATCCAATCGGCCCCGCTACGGGGCCACCTTAGTATCCAATGATGGAGGTCCTCCCATGTCTTGATCTCCGTTCTGGTCTATTTTCAAAGAACGTTCGCCGCCGCACCGTCGGTTTTGCTTGGCCGGCGCGGCACATCCATCTATCTACGTATACCCCCCCGGGCGCCGTCGGACCGATGCGTCTGCGCAATCTCTGTTGATCTATCTGCCCCACCCCAGGCGCCGTCGCACCCTCGGCTTTGCTTCGCCGGTGGCGTCCATCCATGCATCTATCTGTGCCGCGCCCGGTCGCCGTCGCACGGGCGCAGATTTGCATGCGACCGCACCGGCGCATTCTATTGTGGACAATGCAGAACTCAGACGCGCGCGTGCGCGCGACAGAGTTCTGTATTGTCAATAATAGAATCGGTGACATGTATTCCCAAAAACTAAATTCAAAATTTCTGTGGCTCTTTAAGGAGGCCGACGGACGCGTCGACCTTTCTATTGTGGACAATACAGAACTCAGACGCGCGCGCGCGCGACAGAGTTCTGTATTGTCCACATTAGCATAGTCGACATGTAATTCCAAAAGCTGAATTCAAAATTTGCGTTGCTTTTTAAGGAGGCAGACGGACGCGTCGACTTTTCTGGTGTGGACATAACATCACTCAGACGCGCACGCGCTGACTTCTGCATCGCCACCTTGGCATAGTCGACATGTACTTCCAACAAATGAATTCAAAATTTCTGTGGCTCTTCAAGGAGGCCGACGGACGCGTCGACTTTTTGTAGTGTGGAGATACAGAAATCGGCGCGCGCGCGCGACAGAGTTCTGAATCGTCCACAATAGAGAAGTCGACATGTAATTCCAAAAACTGGAACAAAATTTCTATGGCTTTTAAAAGGGCGACGGACGCGTCGACTTTTCTATTGTGGGCAATACAGAACTCAGACGCGCGCGCGACAGAGTTCTGTATTGTCCACAATAGAAAAATCGATGTGTAGTTCCAAAAACTGAATTCAAAATTTCTGTGGCTCTTTAAGGAGGCCGACGGACGCGTACACATTTCTAGTGTGGACAATACAGGACCCAGAGGCGCGCGCGACAGAGTCCTGTGTTTGTCCAGAATATAAAAGTCGACATGTGATTCCAAAAATGGGATTCAAAATTCTGTGGCTCCTTAAGGGGGCCGACGGACGCGTCGACTTTTCTATTGTGGACAATACAGAACTCAGACGCGCGCGCGCGCGACAGAGTTCTGTATTGTCCACAATAGAAAAGTCGATGTGTAGTTCCAAAAACTGAATTCAAAATTTCTGTGGCTCTTTAAGGAGGCCGACGGACGCGTCGACTTTTCTAGCGTGGACAACACAGAACTCAGACGCGCGCGCGCGCGAGCGCGACAGAGTTCTGTATTGTCCACATTATAGAAGTAGACATGTAGTTTCAAAAACTGGAATCAAAAGTTCTGTTGCTCTTTAAGGGGGCCGACGGACGAGTCGACTTTTCTATTGTGGACAATGCAGAACTCAGACGCGCGCGCGCGACAGGGCTCTGTATTGTCCATGATAGAAAAGGTGACATGTTTTCCAAAAACTGATTTCAAAATTTCTGTGGCTCTTTTAAGGGGGCCGACGGACACATCCATATTTCTAGCGTGGACAATGCAGAACTCAGACGCGCGCGCCAAAGAGTTCTGAATCGTCCGCAATAGAGAAGTCGGCATGTAATTTCAAAAACTGTATTCAAATGTCTGTGGCTTTTTAAGGAGGCCGACGGACGCGCCCACATTTCTAGCGTGGACAATGCAGGACTCAGACGCGCGCGCGCGCGACAGAGTTCTGTATTGTCCACAATAGAAAAGTCGACATGTAGTTCCAAAAACTGAATGCAAAATTTCTGTGGCTCTTTAAGGAGGCCGACGGACGCGCCGACTTTTCTAGCGTGGACAATAAAGAACTCAGACGCGCGCGCGCGCGACAGAGTTCTGTATTGTCCACAATAGAAAAGTCTACATGTAGTTCCAAATGCTGAACTCAAAATTTCTGTGGCTCCTTAAGGGGGCCGACGGACGCGTCGGCTTTTCTATTGTCGACAATACAGAACTCAGACGCGCGCGCGCGCGCGACAGAGTTCTGTATTGTCCACAATAGAATAGGTGACATGTACCTCCAAGAACTGAATTGAAAATCTCTGTTGCTTTTTAAGAAGGCAGACGGACTCCTCCACATTTCTAGCGTGGACAATACAGAACTCAGACGTGCGCGCGCGCGCGACAGAGTTCTGTATTGTCCACAATATAGAAGTCGACATGTGATTCCAAAAAACTGAATTCAAACTTTCTGTGGCTCTTTAAGGAGGCCGACGGACGCGTCGATTTTTGTAGTGTGGACAATACAGAAATCGGGCGCGCGCGCGACAGAGTTCTGTATTGCCCACAGTAGCATAGTCGACATGTAACTCAAAAAAAAACTGAAGTCAATGTTTCTGTTGCTCTTTGAGGAGGCAGACGGACACGTCGCTTTTTCTAGTGTGGACATTACATAACTCAGACGCGCGCGCGACAGAGTTCTGTATTGTCCGCATAGGCGACATGTAATTCCAAAAGCTGAATTCAACATATCTGTGGCTCTTAAATGAGGCCGACGGGCGCGTCGACCTTTCTTTTGTGGACAATGCTGAACTCAGACGCGCGCGCGCACGCGCGACACAGTTGTGTACTGTTCACAATAGAGTAGGTGACATGCATTTCCAAAAACTGATTTCAAAATTTCTGTGGCTCTTCAAGGAGGCCGACGGACGCGTCCACATTTCTAGTGTGGAGAATACAAAACTCAGACGAGCGCGCGCGCGAACGCGACAGAGTTCTGTATTGTCCACAATAGAAAAGTCGACATGTAATTCCAAAAACTGAATTCAAACATCCTGTGGCTCTTTAAAGAGGCTGGCGGACGCGTCGACCTTTCTAGTGTGGACAATACAGAATTCATGGCAGCGACGGACCGCCGAGGCGCTCGGATTGCACTTCCGCGCGCCTGCGCGCCCTTGAAGGCACCGCAGGGCCCCTTCGGTGGCCCGTAGGCTGCCGCGCGGCAGCGAAGGCTCGCAATGTTGGCAAGTGTGTCGCTAGCCACGACGCAAGCGCACTCGCTGGAATCAGCGCCGCGCTGCCTCCAGCGAGTGCGCTTACGGCGTGTCGCTAGCCACGCCGCAAGCGCACTCGCTGGAATCAGCGCCGCGCTGCCTCCAGCGAGTGCGCTTGCGGCGTGGCTAGCGACACACCGGCCCGGGCCGGTGTGTCGCTAGCCACGCCGTAAGCGCACTCGCTGGAATCAGTCGCTGCGTTCGCTTGCGAGTTCAGCAACGGCGTACTTTTCTAACGCGGCGCCGGCTTAGCCATTGGTGTTGCTTCTCCTTCTATCGTCTGTGAGCCCAAGGATGTCAGCACCTATTGTGCGATTCGAAAAGTGTTCTGGTGGAGCCACCCGGTGCTCGCGAGCCTGGTCACTGCATCGAAACGTGTTCGTGAACCAAGAACGGCCAGGGGCAGGGATCAGGGGCAGTGGTGACCAGGGGCAACGAGGGGGGGGGATAGGCCCAGGGGGGACGCATCGACCCTGAATCGCTCATTCGTCGCCGATCGGGGCCTGAGTGCCCCACCCTGCCAAGGAACGTGTGGTTTCGCTATCGGGGGCCTATCGCAGATCTCTCGGCGATGTATCGCCGATTTAAGGTCATTGTTTCACCCCTTGTGCCAGTCCCCCCCTCTCGTTGCCCCATCAGGTGCTCGCCCTGATGGGGCAACGAGGGCACTGCTTGTTCGCCCCTCTCGTGCCGCATGTATATGACAAGAACTCGTTCGCATACTTCGTGTTCAGCGCTGACACGGCGCATTCGCGCCAGTAGGGCGACTGTGGGCCATTGCGCAGCTGCGCCGATAGGCGGGCGCATTCGCTTGATTCAGCGCTCCAGGATGGCCAGCAAGAGCGATGACGTGTCGCTGGAGCGGGGGGGCTGCCCCCCCACCGTAGCGACACTCTGGTCCGGTACTGAGTGTCGCTCGGCCCTTCCCTGTTGCAGTGTTGGCGCGACACCCAATGGCCAGGGAAGATGAGAGGGGAGTCCACACTGCAGCGCGGGAGGGCCGAGCGACATTCAGCACCGGACCTGAGTGTCGCTACGGCGGGGGGGCCGCCCCCCTGCTCTAGCGACGCCATTTTTTTTCAATCGACGTGGTTGGCTTGCTTGGGCCGCTGAATCGGACAAGTGCGCTTTGGCATGACCTGGCGGACATCAACCCAGCCCGCTCTCCGTCTCTTTCTTGCCATGTTTCGCACCCTCCACTTCCCAGCCATTCACCCTATTTCCTCACGCAGTGCTTGCACTTAGGGGTTCTTACTTCTGTTCTAAAGAACTGGGCCTGTGGGCCGGTCTGGCGGTTCCCTGCCGGCCGTCGCCGCCCCGTCGCCGCCTCGTCGCCGCCCGTCGTCTGGGCCGGTGTGCCGGCCTTGCGGTTCCGTGCCGGCCGTCGCCGCCCCGTCGCCGCCCGTTGCCTGGGCCTGTGCGTCGGTGTGGCGGCTCCAGGCCGGCCGTCGCCGCTCCGTCGCCGCATCGTCGCCGCCCACAGAGATTGCACGACATAGACTTGCCCACATAGCTTGCCCACATAGATTGCACCACGTAGGTTGCACCACATAGATTGCACCACATAGAATGGACCACATAGCGTACACCGCGTAGAATGCACCACACATATTGCGCCACATGGATTGCACCACATAGGTTGTACCACATATATTGTGCCATATCTATATATATATATAAATATTGCACCACGTAGACTGCACCACATAGACTGCGCCACATAGTCTGCATCACATAGCTTACACCACATATATTGAACCGCGGAGATTACACCACATAGCTTCCACCACATATAGTGCACCACATAGATTGCATCACATAGCTTACACCACATCGATTGCACCGCATAGAGCGCACGCACGATGTAGCTTACACCACGCAGATTGCACGACAGAGATTGCACGCACCACAAAGCCTACACCACATAGATTGCACAACATAGGGTGCACGAACCACGTAGCTTACACCACATAGCTTGCGCCACAAACATTGTACGCGTTACATAACGTACACCACATCTATTGCACCACATAGAGTGCACGGAGCACATAGCTTACACCACAGATATTGCATGTACCACATAGCTTACACCACATATTTTGCACCACAACGATTACACGCAGCACATAGCGCTTACCACATATATTGCACAACAGAGAGTGCACGCACCACATAGCTTGCACCTCATATATTGCACCACATGAAGTGCACGCACCACATAGCTTGCAGCACAGATATTGCACCACAGAGATTGCCCGCACCACAAAGCCTACACCACATAGATTGCACCACAGAGGTTGCACGCACCACGTAGCCTATACCACATATATTGCACCACACATATTGCACGCGCCACGTAGCTTACACCACATATATTGGACCGCATAGAGTGCACGCACCACATAGCTTACACCAAATAGATTGCATCACAGAGAATGCACGCACCACATAGCTTGAACCATATAGATTGCACCACAGAGGTTGCACGCACCACTAAGGTTTCAGCACATATATTGCACCACATGGGGTGCACGCGCTACACACCTTACACCACATTCCAATACGTTTCCAAGAGGACCCCAAGACGGTTCTAAGAGGGCCCATGTCCAACTCCGAGTTGGACATGGCCAAGGCCCTGGGAAGAGCCCAAGAGGGCCCCAAGACGTTTCCAAGATGGCCCCAAGAGAATCCCAAGAGGGCCCCAGACCAACTCTTTGGCATAGAATTGGTTTGGGGCCCTCTTGGGGGCCTCTTGGAGCCGTCCTGGGGCCCTCTTGGGCCCCTCTGACGGCCCTGGGAAGGGTCCCAAAAGGCCCCGAGCGGGCTCCAAGAAGCTCGAAGAGGGCCCCAAGAGGCTCCCATGAGGGCCTCGAGATCGGTCACGCGACAAAGGCGTCGCGTGACCGCTCTTGGGGACCTCTTGGGGCCGTCTTGGGGCCCTCCTGGGCCCTTCCGAGGGCCCTGGGAAGGGGCCAAGAAGGCCCCAAGAGCGCTCTAAGAGGGCCCTAAGAGGGTCCCAAGAAGGGCCCAAGAGCGCATGTCGTGTGCATGTCGTCGTCGTTCTGGGCCCCATGTCCACGACATGCGCACGACATGCGCGATAAGAGCCCTCTGGGGGCTCTCTCGGAACCTGCTTGGGGCTATATTGGGCCCCTCTTGGAGCCGTCTTGGGGTTCTCTTGGGCCCTTCCGAAGGCCCCGGGAAGGGTCCAAAGGGCCCCGAGAGGGCTCCAAGGGGCTCCAAGAGGGCCCCAAGAGGCCCCCAAGAGGGCCCCGAGATCGGTCACGCGAGAGAGGCTTCGCGTAAACGCTCTTGGGAGTTTCTTGGAGCCGTTATGGGGCTCTCTTGGGCCCCTCCGACGGCCCTGGGAAGGGTCCAGGAGGGTCGACGGGGCCTGGGAAGGGCCATTTCTTTTATGTCATAGGGGCCGATGTGTCGCGGGCGGGTCGCGAGGCGGGTGGGTCGCGGGTGGGTCGCAGGCGCTGCGCCCGCCTGCCCGCGCCCTCACTGTTATCCGCAATTGCGGGGTGCTACGTATCCCCCCCGTGGCCATCTTGGGCCTTTCCTGGGGGCCCGCTTCGGGCCCTGTCGGGGGCCCTCTTGGAGCCCTCTTGGGGCACTCTTGGAGGCCTCGGCCCCCTCCAAGACGGCCTGGGAGGGCTCCAGGACGGCCCCAAGGATGCCCCAAGTGAGTTCCAGAGGCCCCAAGTGCGGCGTGCAATTGCACACCTTCCTTGGGGCCATCTTCTTGGGGCCCTCGGGCCTCTTCAAGACGGCCTGGGAGGGCTCCAAGAGGGAGTTCGAATGTCACGGAGTGGGTGCAAGACGGCCTGGGAAGGACCCAAGAGGGAGCTACAATGTCACGGAATCGGTGCAAGTCGGCCTGGGAGGGCTCCACGACGACGACGACGACGACGACGCAACGGGGGCAGCTCACGACGACGACGACAGCTCACGAAGACGACGACGACGACGACGACGACGACGACGACGACGACGACGACGACGACGACGACGACGACAGCTCACGAACTTCTGGCGGTTGAGGGCGGCCAGTGTGGCCACGCCCGTCCACCACTCTGTCCCTCTTTCCGCCCTCCCCTCCCCTCATCCCCCATCCCTCCGGCCTCTCCGTCCATCTGTCCCCTCCCTCCTCTCCTCCCCGGTCGGTTTTCTGGCCATGGCTCGGGCCTCCGGCGGCCGCTCGGGACGATTCCCGCACCCCTGGGACACAATTTTCCATCCCGGGGTCATTTTGTGACGGCTCCGGGGTCTGGAAGCGGCCCCAGGGGGCCGAAAACGACAAACAATTGCCTCGAACCTCGAACTCTTCTTCCTCCTCCTCCTCCTCCTTCTCCTCCTCCTCCTCCTCTTCCATGACGGGGCGCTGCTGTTCAACCCTATCGATTAGCTACTTCTTCTCTGGTTTTCGGCGTAATGCCAGGGTTACCCTGAACTTACCCAAGCATTTCAAAGCGTTGTGAAACAAAACTAAATACAACCTCATTATTCTGGGACCGGCCTGGGGCTTGAAAGTATAGGGTAACTTTGAATTTGCCGACGAAGCATAAAAGCTTCGGCCACACTAGCATAGTCGACATGTCATTCCAAACGCTGAATTCAAAATTTTGTTGCTCTTTTAAAAGAGCAGACGGACGCGTCGACTTTTCTTAATGTGGACGTTATATGACTCAGATGCGTGCGCGTGCGACAGAGTTCTGTATTGTCCACATTCGCAAAAGTGACATGGAATACCACAAATTGAAATAAACATTTCTGGAGCTCTTTAAGGAGGCCGACGGACGCGTCGACTTTTCTGGCGTGGACAATACAGAACTCAGACGCGCGCGCGCGCGCGCGACAGAGTTCTGTATTGTCCACAATAGAATTGGTGACATGCATTTCCAAAGACTGAATTCAAAAATTCAGTGGCTCTTTAAGGAGGCCGACGGACGCGTCCACATTTCGAGTGTGGACAATACAGAACTCAGACGCGCGCGCGCGACAGAGTCTTGTGTTGTCCAGAATATAAAAGTCGACATGTGGTTCCAAGAACTGAATCCACAATTTCTATGGCCCTTTAGAGTGGCCGACGGGCGCGTCGACTTTTCTATTGTGTGTAAAACTCAGACGCGCGCTCGCGCGACAGAGTTCTGTATTGTCCACAATAGCAAAGTCGACATGTAATTCCAAAAACAGAATTAAACAATTCTGTGGGTCTTTAAGGAGGCCGACGGACGCGTCCACCTCTTTCTAGTGTGGACAATACAGGACGCAGACGCGCGCGCGCGCGACAGAGTTCTGTATTGTCCACATTCGCATCGTCGACATGCGATTGCAAAAACTGAATTCAAAATTTCTGTGGCCTTCTAAGGAGGCAAACGGACGCGTTCACCATTCTAGTGTGAACAATACAGAACTCAGACGCGCGCGCGCGCGACAGAGTTCAGTATTGTCCACAATAGCATAGTCGACATGTGATCCCAAAAACTGAATTCAAAATTTCTGTGGCTCTTTAAGGAGGCCGACGGACGCGTCGATCTCTTTAGTGTAGGCAAGGCAGAACTCAGACGCGCGCGCGCGCGACAGAGCTCTGTATTGTCCACAATAGCAAAGTCGACATGTGATTCCAAAACCTGAATTCAAAATTTCTGCGGCCCTTGAAGGAGGCCGACGGACGCGTCGTGTTTTCTGTTGTGGACAGTACAGAACTCAGACGCGCGCGCGCACGACAGAGTTCTGTATTGTCCACAACAGAAACAGTCGACATGTAATTCCAAAAACGAAATTCAAAATTTCCGTGGCCATTTAAGGACGCCGACGGACGCGCCGACTTTTCTATGGTGGAAAATGAAGAATTCAGACGCGCGCGCGCGCGACAGAGTTCTGTATCGTCCACGATAAAATAGGTGTCATGTATCTCCAAAAACTGAATTCAAAATTTATGTGGCTCTTTGAGGAGGCCGACGGACGCGTCCACATAGCTAGTGTGGACAATACAGAACTCAGAAGCGCGCGCGACAGAGTTCTGTATTGTCCACACTCGCGTAGTCGACTTGTGATTGCAAGAACTGAATTCAAACTTCCTGTGGCTCTTTAAGGAGGCCGACGGACGCGTCGACTCTTCTATTGTGGACAATACAGAACTCAGACGCGCGCGCGCGCGCGACAGAGTTCTGTATTGTCCACATTAG